TAAAATCGTTTTTCAGGTTCCACAATGGTGCTGGCTTTGACTCGGCGAAGTCTATTCTACCAGAAATTGTTGCAGTTTTAGTATCATTTACGAGTGCCATCGTGGTATCAGTACTCTCTCATCGCTCTGAGAACCTCGATGTTGTTGGCCCGGTACGGCCGGTACGCATGCCAAACGATGGGTAAGTAATATATGACAAATATCTTCACGTAGAAGTGACGCACTTAAGTCGTGGGCGTGCCTGAAAGTATAAACGAAGTTATCCAGCGGCTATGGTGGAAAGTTCTTTATTTTAATGTATTTTAACTATAATATGTGCCCTCGAATCTTTTTGGTAGAGTTGAATGTTGGTAAATTTTTTGAAGCTGAAATACTGTTACTGTTCTGAACGGAGCACCATTTAGCACAGCCCACAACAAAAGTGGGCCGTCGTCGATAGTCATGGCATTGAAGCGCTTTTCAAACTTCGCTATAATCGTCCTGTCTGCTCTCGTTGGTTGCGTTCAGGTACGAGTTATTAGTTAGTTTTTCAGAAACTACTTATTCCTTTCTAAAGAGGCAGCGATTTCGAGGTGGCTAGGCGGTATAATACCACGTGGTGTACATCAATAGATTAGTCCTTTCAGAAGCAAGTACATAAAGCACCGATCAAAATTTGACCCAATTTTGGCTTGAAGCTTTTTTTTGAACTCGTAAGGAATTTTCAGCCATCCTTTCTCAACTGCATCTATTTCTTGTCGTTCCTCTTCGTTGCCAGCTGGTGGGCGTTGTACAAACCATTGCGCCATAATGTTTATAACAGAATCAAGAAGGTACTGTTTCATTCCTTTGCTTGATTTCCTAACTATGTGATCATAGAGGATCTTATTCTGGAACGAACTTGATTTTTATTTGTTCCAGTTCCTTCTGTTCTTCGCTGCACTTCACATTCTGGCCATTTATGTATATCAGATACCAGTTGTGCAGAAGGCTTTACCAGGCGATTCCCTCGTGGCCAGGTTGGATTTACCCTACATTTGAAATATAATCTCATGTAAAAGATTGAGTTCAAATCAGGATCGTGGGTCTCTCACCGATACTGCTTACTAATTGCCAAAGATGGTGGACGTTTTGGCTAAATACGAGCCTGCAAGTGCCCGCATACATTAATCCTATGATTTTGCTGGTAAGCTCGCCTTTTTTTTACTTTTGTTCTTTCTTTTAGTTGACTAAGCAAACTGTGTTTTTCTCACTAGATGTCATTCCATTTATTTAGAAGTTCGAGTGCTGTTTACATCTCAGACACATGACGGCGTTGCGAGCGTAAGGTTTATATTCAGACTTGTGCCGAAATCGAGCTATGGTATGTAGCTTTCGCGTGCTGCGTTGCGGCACAAAAATCGAGCTATAGCTACTACGAACCAACCGCTAGGAATCGCTCGAGTTCGCGAACTCTGAGATCGGCTAATCGTAACTCGACTAAGTGTTTGTAATAGGAATGACTTGCGAAAGGAAGCCTGCCGCTGCGTAGCGCCAGCACAAAGCACAGTATTCTGAGCATCATGGACCCAACGGTTGTGTATAGTTTTATAGTTTGTGGGCTCAGATTCTGATGCCTAAATTTCGACTTTGTTTGGGTTAATTGCTGTGATTTTCTAAAGGGGTGTTCGACATTTCTTCAATGTGTGAGTAGACGTGCTAGGATTATAAGCGAATCGAACTCCATTTGACGGACAAGACGTGGATCCTTCGTGACGCGGAGGTGAGATCAGCGCTTTCCACTACTTGTGCTTGCAGTAACCAGCTATGTTTTGCTTTGGTTTTGACTACTGTACCGCTTCGTTTGAGTTTGAGTGCAAAAATCAGATAGTGCATGAATTTTGCATGACTCTGAAACACATGTTGCCATGTATTTCGTTAGTAGTTCTGCCTTAGTCTGCTTTCCTGTCATTGTCTTTGGTTGGTTCCCCTGGGGAGGCCCCTTGTGAGGGCCCTTTTTAGGGAAATCGGAATACTGACGGAACTTCCTTTTAGCAGACAGTTCTGAGAAAGAATCTATAAGGCTAGTTTTTTCTTGTTCGTGAGCTGGCGTAGTAATCTAACCCCTGGCAAAAAAGATGTAGGTCCAACCTCAGTTACTGCTTGGACTTCTATTGCGGCAATTGAAGATACTCTAGCTACATAGTTCAGGAATTTCCCTGGATTCACGCAAAGATTTTTGTCTGCTGTGAAGGCAAGCAGCAATTATTTGACACAAACGAGGTCCCAGCAGTCGCCGCGTTTTTTTTTTTCACAAAGGGAGGCGTCTTGTGACAATTGTTCTGACTATGTTTTGCTTCCACGTTCAAAAAAAACGTGTGGAAACGTTCCACGTCCCATTTTTCTTCAGAATGGCTTTCTTTAGAAGCACGAATAAAATGGGGTTATGGCAAAAGTGATATAAGCTGTGTTAGGGCGAAACGGTGCCCCGGTAGCGTAACTGGTAGCGCACTTGCCCGGAAAGCGAGAGGTGCGGGTTCTAGTCCCGCCTGGGGCGAAAGTTTTGTTCACAACCCAGCATTCTTGTGAAACATTCGCAAGGCGAACTGCGGCCAAAAACAGCAGTTAACAAGTCGAAAAGGGTGCATAGTTCTTGTTTTCAAGCAGTCACACTCATCTTCTTCTCTTCGATCTTCGCTTTGTACCAAGCTACTGGCTTGTCTCACCAACCTCCCTTGCGTCTTCGGAGCAAACATTATTTTCATCAAATATAAACCCGCTGCCAAGCTCTGGCCATGATCACAGTTGTGGATGACAGGTCTCCAGGCTACCGCACCCGCTTTTATTTTGTCCGAATAAATGCCAATTCGCATTGTGTGGTGATAAAACGTATAAAAGTAAGACGGTAGTTTAGGGAGGTAGACGGGGAGATGGTAGATTCGTCTTCCTGCTATCACCTCGTTACAGTTCCACAGTCCGCAGTTGGTGATAGTAGCATTGATCCGCACTCTAAGTTAATCGTTTTAGTGAAAGAAACTAAACTCTGGCAGGGAAGTAGACTATACGACACGGTAGTGATACATGGTGTGAATTGATTATCTTCCAAGGATGGCACCTTTCCTTTTCCCCAAGCCACATTCCTTTTCAGCAACGCCTCACTGGGCCACGTCGTGCACGGAGAAAAGTAAGCTCTTCTATTTGTCACGTGTTGTATGGACCTTGTGTTCCTTAGCATTGCGACAAATTAGGTTTTAATTGAGTCACTGATTAGCTCGAAAAATTAAGAAAAACCTCATTGTCATGGCGAGAAATTCACTTCTTTCGATATGTTACTTATACATATATCCAATGCCAAATTTGAAATGAATAGGAATAAAATGTTGGTGAGCATGATCATCATGATTGCACTCTCCAATATCCTTTGCTTTTACGTTTCTTGTACGGGTTTTCGCACGCTCAGATGTTGTCCGAAATCAGGAGTGCAGTTTGGGGTTCCTTTATCGAAAGTGTCGTCTACCAACCCGTCTTTGTCCATTCATCATGTGCACGAAGTTGCTATGCATTGAGTTGTTGGGAAATGGGGAAGCGAAAAATAATTTTTACGCGAAGTGCTTTCGACTCTCGCCGATACGCTATGGCGAATACTGTAGCGCAGTTGTGTATCGGAGGTAAGCAAACCAGCCCTTTTGGCGTTTCGGCTGGGACCGTATGCTGAATGTTGGGGAGGGGATGGGGTCCCCAACGGTCGACGGTTTACTTCAACTCGGTTGGTACGATAGGAGAGTACTGACGCAAGTGGTGCAGCTGGTCCAGCAGCTCCGCCAGAAGGGCTGGTTTGCTCACCCCAGGACTAAGCCTTGGAGAGGGGACGGACCCGTCCTCTCTTTAAGGCTTAGTTCTGAGGTAAGCACCAAATTGTGGCGGTTCTAAGGACCGAGTTGAAGTGGTCCGTCCACCGTCGGGGACTCCATCCCCTCCCCAACATTCAGCATACGGTCCCAGCCGAAGCGCCAAAAGGGCTGGTTTGCTTACGTGTCGCTAGGTTGTAAAGGCCCATCTAACCCTATTGCCTACGCCTTATGGTAACCCGTTGTTTTTCGCGCCTGTACTTTAACACTTTGACGACAGCGCGGGACACATACGTCCCGCACTCTCACACGGAAGAGACTTGTTTTTCCTAAATTGTGCCTCCATTTTCATGCTTCAAGACTGGCCCTTCCTACTGTTGGATACGAAAAATAGTTCTCTCGTTACCACTAATGAAATTATTGGTAATGTAGTAACTGTTGATGCAAATTTGTAAAATAAGGTGGGTAGGTTCGCGCACAAGGGCGTGTCGTCAACGTGTTAAACAACTAATGATCTCGCAGGCAATTTTACAAGCCTGAAATATGTTAAGTTTATTTGCTGGAAAGCTCATGGACTATGTGTAATACTTTACGTTAGAGAAATGGTAAACAATCAAGACAAACGCGTGCTTGTACGTGTAGTAAGCAAAGGGATAAATACGCACGTCATGGTTGTCCAGTGGGTGGGCTAGGTGTGGTATAGGCCCATTTTAATGGTTGCTCACTACTCTTGGATATGTTGAGAAGAGGAGCTCATTAAGGAGGACGGACGTTGCGCTGCTGTACATATCTTTACAAATATATCTGGATCCGCCCGTGCGATTGGCTTAGTGAGATGTCTCCTGGAAGTTTTATGTTGGGATATTTTCCATTGCGATTTACGGACTGTGGGTGGCCAACGAAGCGGAACAGTGATGGGCGTTCATTTTGAGAGTGGTAGAAATAAGATAGCTCATATCCCTTGGCCTTACGCTAAACCATGCCTTCAATCAAATTCAAACTGAAAAAGTTCCATTCATTTCCGAGCAATCGAATTTTGCTCATAATATTCATTTATTTGTGTTTATAGCATGCTTAAGCGCTATGAAACCGTGTTCCCGCATGCCTTTCAGCCCCATGCTATAGGTTTCTAATAGCTCATCTAAGGTAGCAATCACTACTGCTTTTTTCGCTGCTATTATCAACGCTAACCCAATGCACATTAGTGTTGCGGTCGTAACTTCGATGTAGTAGGATAGATTTGAGTGCCGAAAATTGCTTTTCTGTGTGACTTCAGAGGCAGAGTGTGGATGGTGAACGCCTCAGTGCAGGGGCCGATGACAGCACTAGTCCACATGGCAGTCGACCGGTAACTTTCTAATCTTTATTATTTGCCTAAGTAGAATAGTGGAACGGTGTAGGGCGCAAACCTCATCAAATCCACAAATTCTACTGGAAGCAGATCTGTTCGGTCGTGCTTGTGGGCAGAGGTTTGCGTGCTTAATAATGCCTAGTACTAAATGTAGCGTGTGCTACCGTAATCGCACTATTGATTACCTGAAAAGCTAATCTAGAAGTGCTGCTTTCTCAGGCTTATGGTTTTGTCCTTATTCACCATCTAGAAGTGTCAAACATATAGACCGTGTGAAATTTTGTGAGAAATGTGTTTAAAGGCATGTGATCACGATGGCTGAGGGCGGTGCGGTTTTGATGACGTCATTGAACGTAATTTCAAAAGCGTCAGGGGGCGGTTCCAACCACATCCTTAGCGCGCTTAGGGGTCTAGTCCCAATAAGTCTTAATGACGTAATCAAAACTGCACCACCTCCAGCCATCGTGATCACTGTTTTTAACCCTTCGACTCTCAGTAGTACACCTTTTTTTACGCTAAATTGTGGTGATATTTGTGTGTAACGCTGCTAGTCGAAGGGT